AAAAAAATCACTAACCAAAATATGCTTCAATACGTGGCGAATGACTTTACAAACTGGGGTGTAAAATGCGTTGTGGCAATGTCACGACCAATTAAATGTAAAGCACTTTACTGGCAAGTCAGGCATGGGCCGGTTTAAAAGATTTATGATGTCTGGCTGGGAGCCAAGGGCCAATTTGGAGGCTGGGTAATTCAATCAAGCTAATAGAGAATGATGTCATACTCCAAATGCCATGTAGAGACTCTTGTCATGATTTTGGGTGGATAACAATTAATAACCTTAAAGGTAAATGACCTGTGATGACCCACTGTGTAGCCTCTATGCCGTCCCTTGAAGTAACGTTTAATCTACATTCATTGAGAGGCTCCACAAGTCGCACACTGTGGCAAAAAAACATGTGAATCTGAACCTTTTTGTGTCAACACCATGGGACGCAAAGTTATGGAAGCCTGTTTGCCTCAAGAGTAAAAAATGAAAAGATCATTTTGAGATGAAGTTTAAAATAAAACAAAGACAGGCTGCTGTACATAAAGTCACACTGTGCGTTATGAAGATTCAAATATGAGAAATAAGGTCTACAATTATGAGATTAAATATCATAATGCAAGATATTAAGCTACACTGTGAGATGTATAAAGTCGTTTACGTTACAAGCTATCAGAATTTCATCTTACTTTTTGGCCATATAAATAACAACAACAGAGCCAAATTGCATTTTGTCCAGTTTGGGACTCTGAATAAAATGGAGGAGCTATTCCAATTGTATTTCAAGCGTGAGCGCCATAATCTCACTACATCTAAATATATGAGCCATAAAAGTCTGATGTGTCAAATATGATACAAAATATAAAACACACATGCAATATATATTACTTCATATGTCATGCTTTATAGGTTTAAAAAAGATTTTAATATCACTCACTTACCCACACTGGTTTGTCCAAAGCTTAGGATGCAACCATCAGCTCCAGCAAGCACAGACTGGAGCACTTCACACAAGCTGTTCTCACAAACTTCTGCCTGAAAAATAATACTTCAACTTGATTTTTTTATGACAACACTGTTTCATCATTTGTCAGTTGAACTGTACATAAATTATATGTAAATTTCAAGGACCTTTCACATGGAATCTGTTTCCTGGGATGTGGAATTATTTATCCAAATGTGCATCTAACACTGAGTGAAATCAGCTCAGTTGATTGTACTGGATCAGAATATCCAGATATTGGATATCTGCACTCAAATGTGACCAAATCTGAGAGTGTTGCGGATGTTTGGATATTATGACTCAGATGGGCTCCAGACAAGTAGACAGATCAGTTTTCACATCATAAGACAGAAATAACAAAGCAGTGGCCCTGACCTGGGTTGAATCAGGGCCAAAGGCAGCATCAAAGGTGAAGGTCTTTGAGGAGACTGTAGTTCCAGCAGTCTGTCTCTGAGGGTTGAAGGTGGGTACATTCAGCACTGTGATCTGTTTCTTGTGCCGGTCCAGTTTGAAAGAGTAGGACTGAGACGGGTCAGACATAGGAACCGAACACAATCGCAGCATCACTTTGACCTAGAATTGGTGGAACAAAACCAAAACAATATACTAATTGGATATTACATATAAATATAAAATATTTTTAAATGTACATAAAAAGTGATCAATCGCAGTTGGCAAACATATTTATTTTAAAATATATATTTTAAAATATTTTTAAAAATTTTGCTAATACAGATTTTAAAATATATTTACAATATATTTTCAAGACATTTAAGTTACTTATATCTAATTGTATATTTTTTTGGCCATCATTGTAAATACATTAATATTGTCCTAAATATATATATATTTTTTAGATGCATTACTTGCTCCTTGAATAACATTTTGTAATATATTTGGCATGTGTAGGATTAAATATAAGATTCAATTATATTTAGACCTTAAATGTATGTAAAATACACACACACACACACACACACACACACACAAAATAAAAGTTTATATGTAAAC